AGAAGCTTGTCAGTTTAATAAGGTCCCACTTGTCTATCTTCTCTCTTATGACCTGTGGGTTTTGGGTTTTGTTCAGGAATTGGATGCCAGTTCCGATTTCCATGAGGGTATTTCCTTCATTTTCTAAGGTTCTTATGGTTTGAGGTTTTACATTTAGGGATTAACAGTAGCAAATATCTGTCTGGGGATGGGGAAACACCTCTTATCAACAGGGTGCCTGAATGAAACGTAATTGTACACCTAACCCTTAACTGTACCCCACAAAACCATAAAAAAAAATATTGATTATGAAAAAAAAAGTACTTCTGAGGTAGGGCAGTGCAGAAAATGAACAAACCTGTTTGGGGAGCTTTTCTCCTGTTGCAAACATAACTAGGAGGAGCACTGGGGGAAAGTGGACAGCACTCCCTCTTCCCTGTGTCTGAGTATCAACGGCACTGAATTCAGTCCCAACACATGTTACTCCCCAGCTAGGTGCTGAACGCTGTGTTAGGTACTCAGAATATAAAGATATATTAGAAATACTAAATTAAAATGCAGAATACTGAGATAAAATTTAAAATGTTTTAAATGAAAAGGCTGGGTATGGTGGCTCATGCCGGTAATTCCAGCACTTTGGGAGGCCCAGGTAGGAGAATTGCATGAGCCCAGGAGTTCAAGGCAACATAGCGAGACCTCGTCTCCACAAAAAATTAGCCAGGAGTGGTGACATGAGCCTGTAGTCCCAGCTACTCTGGAGGCTGAGGCTGAAGGATCACCTGAACCCAGGAGGTCAAGGCCATGGTGAGCTAGGATCATGCCAATGCACTCTACCTGGGGCGACAGAGTGAGACTCCAACTCAAAAAAATAAAAACAAAAAAGATAAGTAGTAGGAGGGAACAAAACAAGGCAGATAGATAAACTGGCAAAAGAGTGACCTGGGTGGATTTTTTTTTTTTGAGTCAGAGTCTCACTGTTGCCCAGGCAGGAATGCAGTGGCATGACCATTATTCACCACAGCCTCGACCTGCTGGGTTCAGGTGATCTTTCCTCCTCAGCCTTCCAAGAAGCTAGAATCATGGACGCGCGCCACCATGCCCAGCTAAATTTTTGATTTATTGTAGAGATGATGTCTCAGCAAGTTGCCCAGGCTGGTCTCGAACCCATGGGCTCAGGCAGTCCTCTTGCCTCTGCCTCCCAAAGTGCTGGGATTACAGATGTGAGTCACCGCGCCTGGCCCTGGGTGGATTTTTGAGGAGTCTTTTGGCCCAGTCTGGGCAAGTGATCAAGGGAAGCTTTTTGGAGACAATTGTGCCTCTTGAAACAGAATCTTGAAGGAAGAATCAGAGTTAGAGGCAGAAGAGAGGACAGGTTCATTCCAAGCAGAGTTAACTCCATTAATAAAGCTGCACAGGAAGATATATGCTGTTTTTGGAGCCTAAACCTTGAGTTGGGACTTAGAAAGAGATGAGACAGGAAGAGTGAGTTGGCAGAAGTGACAGGATCAGTGGCTTTAGAACCCCCCGTCCTGGACAAGATGAGAAAGGAAGCTAGTTAGGAGGCTTTCACAGTGGTCCAGGTAAGGTCAGGGAGGAAGAGAAGGATGTGGATCAAAAATTATTTAGGAGGCAAAATTGGCAGGACATGTAGGATGGAAGGACAGGAAGACATGGAAGGACACACTCGAGGCAACTAGTGGTATCTAGCTCTATACTACATGTGACAGCATTCCAATCTATCCTTGAGATTTGCCAGCGCAGAGTGGAGCTAAGTAAGATTTCCTCTTGTCTTCCTAGTGATTTGTACCATTAATTTATAGATGCAGCACTTGGCCCTTGGTACATTTATGGCATTGTGTCACATTTATACAAAAGCTCAGCAGCATAAAAAAAATATGTCTTTGTGACTAAAATATTCTTCCCTTGAGAGAACTCAATTTTCAGTATAGTGGTTCTAATATTAATTCACAGAAAAGGCAGGAAATTATTACTATAATTATAACATCTTGACTAGAAGCCTGACCTGATTGAGTCTTAAGATTTTCTTTGCCACTTATAAGTGTTTTCTGTAATTTTATCATTTAAGCAAAATTAACATGTTTTATTTACAATTGTGGGTGAAAATTGTGTTTAGCATATCATTTTTATTTATTTAATAGAATGTGGGGGTTTTTTTGGTTTTTTTTTTGAGTTGGAATCTCACTCTGTCGCCCAGACTGGAGTGCAGCGGCCGCTCCCGGCCACCGCAGCCTCAACCTGCTGGGCTCTGGTGATCCTTCTGCCTCAGCCTTCCGAGTAGCCAGAATTACAGGCATGCGCTACCACACCCGGCTGGTTTTTTGATTTATTGTAGAGATGAGGTCTCGCTGCCCAGGTGGGTCTCGAACCCGCGGGCTCAGGCAATCCACTCACCTCAGCCTCCCAAAGGTGCGAGATTACAGGCTGAGCCACTGAGCCCGGCTCGGAATGTGTTTTTCAAGAGCAAATTAGAACATTTCTGTTAAAACCTTGAATCTCAGAAGCATTATTTAAATGACCTGATCACTTTTGGGATTGAAGTTATGTCTCAGTCCATTTTGTATTGCTTATAACAGAATAACTGATACTGGGTATTTTATAAAGAAAAGGAATTTGTATCTTACTATTATGGGGGCTGTAAAGTCCAAAGTCAAGGAGCTGCATCTGGTGAGGGCCTTCTTTCAGGCTGGGACTCTCTACAAAGTCCCCAGGCAGTGCAGGGCATCCCGTGGTAAGGGGCAAGAGGGTACTAGCCCAGGTCTCTCTTCCTCTTGTTATAAAGCCACCAGCTCCCTCCCACAATAACCCATTAATCCATAAACTCATTTATCCTTTAATCCATGGATGGATTTATCCATTCGTAAGGGCAGAGCCCTCATGACCCAGTCACCTCTTAAAAGCCCTACACCTCCATATTGCCTCATGGGGATTAAATTTCACGAGGAGTACTGGAGAGTACAAATAGTCTAACCATAGCAAACTGTAAATATAGGTCACGAGGCTCACTTCTAGGTTTGGTCCATCCCTTGGCCCAGATATCATTTAGTACAGAAAAGATCCTGCAGTATTTCTAACTGGTTGGGTCCAGTACAGATCCACCCTCTTCACCATCCAACCCCGCGCAAAGTAGCTGATAGTAGAGAGGGCCCCAAAAAAGAGTTGTTTCATTATTTGTTGTCCATGATGCCTAAGAAGCAATTTGGCTGAGAAGATGCCTCAAAAAAGGAGTTCAGTCAAGCCACTGGTTAATTCATTTAAATCACTTTCTTAATTTTTTTCTACTTCTGAATTCGCTTTTAAATAGAACTAACCAAGCTGCATTTTTAACCGTTGTTTAAATAATAATGGCAAAACTTAAATGAAACCACTCTTGTGTAATATAGTTATCCTCTAAGATCTAAGAGCGCTTTTTAAAAACTTATTTTAAAGATGTGGGGTGCAATTCAGGGTTAGGTATACAAATGTTCATTATGCAGGTCCCCTTGTTGATGAGGTGTGCTCCCCCTTCCCCTGACAGTTTCCCACTACTGCCAATCCTGCCCCCGCCCTCCCCTGGCAGAGCACTTTTGAGCCAGTTACCATCTCCACTAAATCTTTAGCGCCAACTAACCAGCAAGCCCTACAATTAGAGTTCTTAATCAATGATGCTATTCGTGACTACCAAGACAAATTAAATTAATTCCTTTGTCTTTTTCCTTCGCAGCATTTTGCTAACGGAGATTATAACAGAAATGTTTTTATTTGGGGAATGCATAGGAACTCCCGTTAAAAATGAAATAGAAAACTCTTAATGGCTCTGTCATTCCAGCGTGACCAGCCCACTGAGATAATCCTTCTGGCTGTGTCTTCACAGGATGTGGGAATTTGTTTACCAGATTTGTCCATTGAGTTCTCGATGGCCAATATCTGGCAGACCCAGGCCAGTTTGAACCCAGAGTCTTAGTTCAAGGAAGCGGTGCCATTCCCAAGTTAGGCAAACCCTAAGGTGCTCCAACATTTCAACCACAGCTTCAACATTTGTGTTGGTGCCAACGTCTGCCACAGTCTCTAGAGTCACCTGGTCCTGGGATCAAATGCTGACTCTCCCACATACTAGCTATGGGACCTTGAGCAAATCACTTGACTTCTCTGAACTTCAGTTGCCTTTCCCATGAAAGAGGGATACTACTAGTGTTTTGTGATGGTGGAAGGCAGCAATTCACATAAAGCACAGTGTCTGGCTGAGCAAATACTCAGTACATGTTAGCCATTCAGATTAATACTCAGAGGATGAAGACTTTCATCTTTTTTAATGTTTTAACTTTTAAGTTTAAACAAATGTCAATCTAATATCAGAAATTTAATGGAAAACTAGAACATTTTATATTTTCAGAGAGATCATCTTAAACTTTAAAAATACAAGGGGGAGGGTCCCTAAGAAAACCCCCAGAATTTATTTATTAAAAATTGTGTCTATTCTTACACGTTTAAATTGTAGTACACCATTGAGATGCTTTTTCCACTGCTCAGAACACTTTATGAACTTGTCGATTTGGATGCCTTTTAGCGCTTCTGCTATTTTCTGTTGCACCTTTTTCACATCAGCAAAACAATTTTTTTTTTAAAAATTCAGAAAAACCAATTCAAAACAAAAAAATTTTAGGAAAACAAACAAAAAGCACTTAGGGTGAGATCAGGTGAATAGGGAGGGTAGGACACGAGGGTCATGCCATGTTGGGTCTAAAACTGCTGAACACTCAGCTCAGTGTGGGCAGATGCGCTCATAAATCACCCATGAAATGGGCAAACACATTGAAAGAATCTCCCCCGAAAAATTCACTGAAGCCGAATGCAGCCTCTCACAACAATGCTAGCTGGCACACTGATGACAGTGGGTTCCTAGAACACTCACCTAGTGGGGGAAGCCTGTACTACAAGGGACCCACCCTCCAAAACATAATTCCAGGTTTTTTTGGTTCCCCCTCATATATGCTTCTTCAAAAACATGTTATTCTTTTTTGTAGGCCGATTGTATCAGAAAGAAATGAACTTCTTATTCAGTTTTTGTCGGACTTAAGTTTAACTGCAGATGGATTTATTGGTCACTACAAATTCAGGCCAAAAAAACTGCCTACAACTACCATAGCACCTGTGACCACCACATTTCCTGCCACTACAGGTAAGTTTTTCTGCTTGGAAGTTTGTGCAAAAACTTTAGGAAGAGAAGAAGAATTATTCTGAAGCAGAAAAACATTGGAGGAAGATACTTGAAACTAAAGTTAAACTGGATGGAAATACGAAAGAGAATAATATGGGCCAGGCATGGTGACTCACACCTGGAATCCCAGTGCTTTAGGAGGCTGAAGCAGGAGGATCGCTTGAGTCAGGGAGTTTGAGACCAACCTGGGCAACATAGTGAGACCTCATCTCTACAGAAATAAAAAAATTAGCCAGGCATGGTGGCACACTTACCTATAGTCCCACTGCTCAGGAGGTCAAGGAAGTGTGATTGTGACACTGCACTCCAGGCTGGCTGACAGAGTGAAGCTCAACTCAAAAAGAAAAAGAGCAAAAGAATAATATGGTTTTACTAATGAAAGAACGGTATAGGGTGTTAGAACACTTATAAGTTAACAGTTTTTAAATGTCTGCTAAGAAAATTATGACCAAGGTGGGTGCAGTTGCTTACACCTGTAATTCCAACATTTTGGGAGGCAGAGGCAAGAATATTGCCTGAGCCCAGGGGTTCAAGACCAGCCAGGGCAACTTGGCGAGACCTCATCTCTACAATAATTCAAAAAATTAGCCGGGTGTGGTGGCGCACACCTGTAGTTCAGCTACTTGGAAGGCTGAGGCAGAAGGATCACCTAAATCCAGCAGGTCAAGGCTGCAATGGCCATGATCATGTCACTGCACTCCAGCCTGGGTGACAGAGTGAGACTCCCACTGAAAAAAGAAAGAAAATTATGACCATTTAAAAATTACTAGGAAGCCTGTTATAAGCACAGATCACATAAGCTTTCGTTTCCTTCTTTGGCACTTAAAAAATTGTAGTTTTCTTTTTGTCACATAGAACTGTGGTATTTTAGGTTACAATTCTAGGGTCTTCTTAATATTCGCTAGTTTTCATGTCTGCCAATGTTTGGGCATTTTTTGTTCTCAGCAAAATGTCATATAAAAAATATTATTTCTTCAAATTGGAGTAAGTTAAACAACCGTATCAACATATTGCAGAAGCTGGTTGAGCAACTCTGGTCTGGAGGGTGATCTAGGAAGCAGGGAGGCAGCATGGGGCCCTGCAGCTAGCGCCTACATCCTATCAGCTCCAGTCCCTGGGATTCAGGCCGCGGACCCAAACACCCACATCTAGGGAGGAGGGGAATAAGTGAAAAGGGAAGATCTACGGTTAGGTATAAAATAGGCTGCAACATTGCCCACGTTTTCTATATACGCCCAGGATCGGGACAGGCAGGCACCTCTGGGTCTGAGTTTTCTGGGCACTCCACAAGTGCGCCGCCTCGTGGCTGGGATGGGTACTGCTTCGTGCGGCTGCCGTATTTCTCCAGCCCATTCTCTGTGGGCCTTGCTTGGTGTCCTTCCCCGTGAATTATCTGGTCACACCCATGGTAGTAGTGGTTCCCCTGCTTTTATCTCCATCCTAAACTTGCCTTGAAATTGCGGTGTGTCTTATGGACTTCACAGCAATTTGGATGGATTTAGAGTCGATCACACTCAGTGATCTATCACAGAAACAAAGAACAGAGTACCATATGTTCTCACTCATAAGTGTACCCTGAACAATTATCATAATACTATAAGGAAGGGATTGGCAGTCGTGGGAAACTGCCGGGGGGGGGGGGCATGTCTCATCAACAAGGGTACCTGCGTAATGAACATTTGTATACCCAACCCGAATTGTACCCCACATCTTTAAAATAAAAATAATTAAAAATATTTATTTTTTATTTTATTTTATTTTTGAGTTGGAGTCTCGCTCTGTCACCCAGACTGGAGTGCAGTGGCCGCTCCCGGCCACCGCAGCCTTGACCTGCTGGGCTCCGGCAATCCTTCCGCCTCAGCCTTCCAAGTGGCTGGAACTACAGGCGCGCGACCACGTCCAGCTAATTTTTGATTTATTGTAGAGATGAGGTCTCGCCAAGTTGCCCAGGTGGGTCTCGAACCCGCGGGCTCAGGCAATCCACTCACCTCAGCCTCCCAAGGCATGGGATTACAGGCTGAGCCACCGAGCCCAGCTAAGAATAATTTTTTTAAAAAAAGAAATTTCAGTTTGTAATTGGATTTACAATTTGTGATTGGATTTGCTAGTAACTACTAGACATTGTGTGTGGAAGCATATCAAAACTTGTCTTTAATCACACTATTTTCTGCCCCAAGCCTACCTCTCCACTTGTTTTCCCAAGCACATCCATGGCATCCAGAGCCACCCCTGTGCAATTATCTCTGATTTTCTCTAGCTTCCCTACCCACTGCCTGTCCCACTCCACAGCCCTACGTAGGGTGACCATTAAATTCACCATCTGCAGGTGTGCTATCCAATATGGCAGGTACTCTGGAGCACTAGAGATGTGGCTAGTGATACCGAGGAACTGAACTTCTCATTTAATTTAAAATGTAAAAGCCTCACGTGACTGGTAGCCACCAGACTGGACAGCACAGGAGCCAGCCTCCTCCGTGTGGTAGAGAAGACCCTTCACACTCTGTCCCTCGCCTTGTCTCTCCACATTCGTCAGGCCTTCTCTGCCAGATCTCTCCTTATGCTCTAAGTATTTTGTTCTTTACCCTAAGTGTGGGGGAAGTTTTGATGGCTTGAAGTGAAGCTCAGGATTAGATTTGTATTTTACAAAGATCACTCCAGCAACTGTGAGGCGAGTAGGTTGTGGAGGTCGAGCGAATCAGCAGGGTCTGTGGCTGTCCGAGTAAACTCTGCTATGGCACAAATACAGAGATAGTCAAGAGATGGAGGGACGCAGTGACAGGCCCTGGTGATGAACTGGGCTGAGGAAATCGGGGAGGGGTCAAGAGTGCCTCCCACGTCCCTGCCTTGCACAGCTCGGGGGATACTGTTACCGTTCACTGAAGCAGAGAGCTGGGTTGGGGGTGGATTCATAAATAAAGCTGTGGCCTTGTTGGGTCTGAGGTATCAGTGAGATTTTTCAAGTGCAAAAGGCACACTGGCAGACGTGTGGGCCTCCAGACCAGAAGAGATGCAAGCCAGAGATTTAAGAGTCATCAGCATATAGGCAGCTGAAACCATGGTCAAGAATGAGCTTGCCTAAAGAGAGGCTGAGGGTAGAGGGAGAGAGGTACTGGGATTAAACCTCTAGAAACTCCAGCTTTTTAAAGAGTAGGCGATACTGGGATTGAAAAGGAGTGTCGAGGGAGGAGAACCGGGATCATGTGTCGTGGAAGCTGTGGAGGAGAATTTTTTTAAAAGGCAGTGGTCAGTCAAGCATTGATGGAACACAATTCCAACAAACATTCCTGACGAGCACTTTGAGAACTAAGACCACTTCCATCAAACCAGATATTGTTAGATTAGTTTTACAAAAACAAGGTCAATACTGTTCTCATTTTTCTAAACGTTATAATAAAAGTATTTGAAAGGAAGTCTTATGTATATATACTAACTGTATTATATAATTTATATGCAGCCCAAGACAATTCCTCTTTACTCTATGCGGCCCAGGGAAGCCCAGAAGTTACTCGATTGACTCAGAGAAGCCAAAAAGTTGGGCACCTCTGCTGTAAACATTGGTGGGAAGTAGCCAGCAAAGGAGGAGAGCATGGTGGCAGACAGACAGAAGGAATAAGCTGAGGAGGAAAGCGTCTACAAGGGTGGGAGGGTCTGAGATGGGAGAGGACTCACCGAGGAAGGGAGAGAGGTACTGGGATTGAACCCTCGACCTTAGACCAGAGTGGGCACACCCTTCCCTCGGAGGAGGAGAAGCTTCAAGAAGGGCGGATAGAGATGACTTGGAGGTGTGATGGGGATCTCGAACATTGTCGGCTCTGATTTCTGTTCTCTCTAGAAAACAGGCAAGAGTGGGAAGGGAGTGGCAGGGCTGGGGGCTGAGAGGATGAGTAAGGACTTGAAAAACAGCTGTGGAAATCGGGGAGGACGTTGATCCCCCAGCCTGTCATTTTGATGAAGGTTCATCTGTGTGCTCAGCTGTCTGGGGGCAGGCACGGAAAAAACAGATTCCCCTCCAGGACAGAGCGGAGGGGAAGTCCCTGGCGAGAACCCAAGGGTCGGCCCGGGAGGGTGGCCCCGCAGAGAGGGGGACAGGAACGCATGGGGAGGAAGGCCGAGGACAGGGGTCGAGCTCAGGAGTGCGGGACAGCAGATGGATGACAGTAAGGTGAGGCAGGGAGGAGTGGTAGAACTGATGGGCTAGGGGCAAGAGAACAGGGCTCCACTCAAGGGAGAGAAGGGGCAGTATGCAACGCCCACCCCACTTCTGAGCTGCTCTGCTGAGGCTGAGAAGGTGCTGATGTCCAGTGGTTCACACGGAAAGATGCTCTCTTTCATCAGACGGGGGAACCACTAATAGCGCTACTTTCCGACTCAGTTAATTGGGTAAATTCAATGCTGAAGTGAAGTCCCCAATTTCTGCAACAATGATATATCTCTTTCTCTCTAGACATTTACTTTTTTTTTCTTTTCTTTCTTTTTTTTTGAATGGGGGTCTCACTTTATTGCCAGACTGGGGTGCAGTGGCACAATCACAGCTCACTGCAGCCTCAACCTCCTGGGCTCAGGTGATCCTCCCCTCTCAGCCTCCCAAGTAGCTGGGACTACAGGTGCATACCAGCTAATTTAAACGTTTGTGTTTTTTTTTTTTTGCAGAGATGTCTCACTTTGTTGGTTGGACTGGTCTTGAACTCCTGGGCTCAAGAGATCCTCTCACCTTAGCCTCCCAAAGTGCTGGGATTCTAGGCTCTCTAAACATTTTCTGAGCTTTCTCTTTTTAAAGAAAATACATATTTACGCTATTATGTGTATTTTAACATCAAATTGAGCATGTTTTACTATTGCCATCTATTTCAGATCCCTTTTGGAGTTCAGTCGGAGTACAATTAAGAGTAAATAAATAATAAACTCACAGAGGAGTTGGTGGGACATATTAGAAAGACAATATCACAACTGAAGATTTGTCAGATTTCTCACCCAACACGTGCTGTTCTATTGCAGTTGTTTTTTGTTTAGTTCTTCCTCACATATTGCCACACATAAGGAAAGGCAAATGATTAGCAAATATTTTCAAAACATTTCAAAGATATGATAATGAGGATTAAATACTTCCATTTTGTCCACACGGGGTTTCTCAACCGTGGCCGATTTGCACTTGGGGCCAGGTAATTATTTGTGGTGGGGACTGTTCATTGTAGAATGTTTAGCCGGGTCTCTGGCCATCTGTGTACCCACTAGGTGCTAGTAGCGCCCTCTCGCGGTGGCAGCCAGAAATGTTCCTAGGTATTGCCAGATGTCACCGAAGGGGCAAAATCACCCCCAATTGAGAACCACCGTGCTTCTCTATTTAGTTTTCCTTTTAAAGTTGTCTGCATCTAAGTTCTGAAGAGCCTTAGCCGATGCCAGGCTGAAATAAATATTTAGTAATCGGCTGCACCTAATTACAGATGTTACACACTTTACATGTAAGCAGCATCCCTAAAAATCTGTGCTACTCACATTTGTGGAATTGCTTATTTTAAATGCACCAAGAAAGCTCCTTTCATCCTCAGGGGAACATCACAAGATTCCTTTTGTAAAGCGAAGGATTAACCTACATTCTGTGAGTTCAGATTTGTTGTACTGGGTTTTTCTAAGCAGGGCATACACACAGAGAATATATCTATTTTTGGTTATAGTGTTTGTTTTATATAAAGGAGAAAGAGAACAGGGCTAAATTTGAACTATCTTTGATCTCAGGTTTAAAATTCAGTAGAGGCCAGGCACGTTGGCTCACACCTGTAATTGCAGCACTTTAGGAGGCTGACGCAGGATGATTGCTTGGGCCTAGGAGTTTGAGGCTAGCCTAGGAAACACAAAATTTTGTGAGACCTTATCTCTACAAAAAAATTAAAAATGAGCCGGGCTTGGTGGCTCAGCCTGTAATCCAGCGCTTTGGGAAGCTGAGGTGAGTGAATTGCCTGAGCCCGCGGGTTCAAGACCTGCCGGGGCAACTTGGCGAAACCTTATCTCTACAATAAATCAAAAATTAGCCGGGCGTGGTAGGACACACCTGTAGTTCCAGCTACTTGGAAGACTGAGGCGGAAGGATCGCTGGAGCCCAGCAGGTCGAGGCTGCGGTGGCTGGGAGCGTGCCACTGCACTCCAGTTTGGGTGACCAAGTGAGACTCCAACTCAAAAAAAAAAAAAAAAAAAATTAAAAATGAGCTAGGTGTGGTGGTGTGTGCCTGTAGTTCCAGCACAGAAGGCTGAGGCAGAAGGATCACCTGAATCCGGGATGGCAAGGCTGTAGGGAGCCATGCTCATGCCACTGCATTCTAGCCTGGGCAACAGAGTAAGACCCTTCAACTCAAATAAATAAATACATAAATAAAATTCAGTAGAGGGCATTGAGTTACCCTGAGGAAATCAGAACAGCAGTTGGTAGCAGAAAAATTTCTTTTACAAGGTTTTTAGTTATTTCATTTCAGTAATAGATTGGTGGCTCAGGAAAATAGTCATTTTAAATGGGTGGATTCAGATATAAACACCAATTATAATTGAATTCACTTTGTTGAATCTTATGTGTTTTTTCTTTGAATTTAGGTTTAAAACCTACCGTGGCCCTGTGTCAGCAAAAGTGTAGACGGACGGGGACCCTGGAGAGCAATTATTGTTCAAGTAACTTTGGTAAGAAATAAAAACCAGCCTTTTGTCTTTAACTAGAAACTTGACACTGTGTGCTTAATCTCAAAGGAATCCCCATTAATTTAATGGTGAGGGGTCAGGAACACTGTTCACTTATCCAAGAAAATATTTTCCTGTGCACTAGATGTGTTGACCTATGCTCCTCAAATTGTCAGATTTCACAACTGAGAAAAATATGGACTTAGAAAAGATGTTTTATGCACATAAACTTAATAATCTGACTCTTGGTATATGATATTCCTACTATGTGTATTCTGACTGACTGTGCCCCAAAAAACCTGTATGCTTTTTTCTCACATTTTTTCACATACTGTGCTGAGAATTTTTTCACATATCTGTAATTCAACTTAAGTAAATTAGAAACATACCCAAGCTTATATTCTGAAGCTGGCCTCTCTCAGAAGAAATTAAAGTATTTCCTCTGTAGTGTCCTTCCAAAGTACCAAATTAAAACTTGGAAATCTGAAGTCTGTTTGGAAACTCTTATAAGTTGGAACCTGAAAAGATGTTACTTAATGACTTAGAATTTCTAGGAGCTTTTTTCCAGATTAAAAATTGCACTGTCTGTGAAAACTACTTAAGAGCAAAAGATACTGCATTTAAGTATGTTGGTTATTTTTAAAAGCAGCTCAAAAGGAATATTTTGGAAAAGTCTTACCAGGAAAAGAAAGTTGCTGCAGCTTAAATAGGTTACCCAAAACAAAGGGCCTCCCCAGAGAGGCCTTACTTGCTTTTTCTGTGCCTTGAAGTGGTAACTGTCTGCAATCCAGACGAGCTCTGCCATGGCAAAGGTGTGAAGTCACAGAAGAGTCCAGCACCCTAAATCTTCCAAGAGTTTGCATGCTGAAATTCAAATAACTGGCATCATAATAAAAACAAATAGCACCAGGCTATTTGCTACTACATCCTGCAGACTCTCCTGTGGGAGGTGCTTTAGGAAATCTCCCTCCCTGTTGCTGTGGGAGCCCCTGATCTCACTTGGCTACAGACTGACATTTTGCAGTGAACACTCATCACCAGGATTACAGTAAGGCATGGTCAGAATTCTGATTTTATGAGCACCGCACACTACATAAGCAGTGAGCGTTCACTTTGCCCTGCGACAAGCCGCAGACTTGATTTATTCCACTGAATGTTACTCACTTATATGGCAAAATGATGAATTACTATCACCATTGACCCACTGGTTCTCAACCAGGGTTGGTCACACTCCCCTAGGGCAGTTTTTCTTTTCACAATAACTACTAGTTTTTCTTGGCAGGAACAAGGCTGGTGAAAAAAAAACCATTCAGTGAAAGTCCACAAGAATATCACCCCCTCCCCACAACCTCTCAAATCGCTAAAAAACACCCTCTTGACAAAAGAAAGACTCTTTCCTTGGAGTATCACAAGAGAACCAGGAATTACATAATGAAAAGCAACTAAGTTTTGCTACAGTTTTTTTTCATTGTTTAAGCAAGGAAATGTTTAAGTTATCCCTATACTTTGACTTGTTAAATTAGATAAACAGGGTTGATAAGAAAGAGACAGAGATTAACTGGTAATTAGAGAGAGATGAGGAGGAACAAAGTTCAAGGAGAAACCACAGCTAAAGTGAAGGGGCAGGGAGAGACAGACACAAAGACAGACCTCAGTGGCCAAACCCCCATCATGCAACCTCTCAGTATGGTGTTGCTTTTAAAGATTCAAGGTCTAGGCCGGGCATGGTGGCTCACACCTGGAATCCTAGCACTTTGGGAGACTGAGGTGAGTGGATCACTTGAGCCCAGGAGTTCAAGACCAGCCTGGGCAACTCAGCAAGATCTCGTCTCTATTTTTTAAAAAAAGAAAAGATAAATTTTTTTTAAAGATTCAAGGTCTGACTATCCTCTGGCAATTGATCCACATGTTGGATCAAAGATTTTGAAGAGTCCCAACCTTGGCAATGTTCTTGGCTGTACAATGTGCAGCAAGTATTTAGAGTTCTCTCCTAGTTATCAACACCTGAGAACCAGGGTAATGTTATAGCTTCATGATCCTTTTTTTCCCCCAATCTGAATTTTGAATTTTGGCGACAGATGCTTCTGTGCATCTGTCGCCAAAATTTAAAAGTGTTCCCAAAAGTTCTGTGAGAGCCTCCTAAAATGCTCAATAAAATGTTTCACATCCGAAACTCAGAAGAATGTAGAATTACTTCCAGTTCTGCATGCATTTGCCCTCACTGTCACATGATTTCAGAAATGTTTTCCTCTGCAGTATTAGCCGGCACTGTTATCACAACTGTCACTCGAGGTGGGAGTCTGCACGCCACAGTCTCAATCATCAACATCTACAAAGAGGGAAACCTGGCTATTCAGCAGGCCGGCAAGAACATGAGTGCCAAGCTCATTGTGGTCTGCAAGCAGTGCCCACTCCTCAGAAGAGGTGAGTAAGGCCAGAGAGGGCCAGAGAAGGAAATGAGAGCGCCTCTCTGAGCGGGTCATAGATTCTCCCATGCCATTATGGCTGGTCTAGGGAAGTAAAATCAAGGCTGATATACTGCTCCCTCATCGTAGAGAAGGAAGACCCTTGGAGTCACGCAGAATTGGGCTCTAACCCAGTCCTTGTAACCTATGCAAGAAGAAGGGGTGGTGGAAATGATGAATGGGTCCAAGAAGCAGTTGAAGTTGAGTCACAAGGAACAGACACAGAGGGAGCATCTCAAAGGAAAGAGATTTTAGATTCTTGCACTTAAGGTGCCAACACTATGTCTGTTTAGAGGAAGATATCCAGCAAGCAACAGGAAATGCAGTGCTGAGGTTCAGAAGAGAGGGGTATGTCTGGACTGGAATCAGAGATTTGGGAATCATTTGCAGAGATAGTACTATTAGATCCATGCATGTGAATGAGTTTGTTTGTTTATTGAATTCAGGTCTCACTCTGTCGCCCAGGTTGGAGTGCAATGGCACAATCCTGGCTCACCGCAATCTTGAACCTCCTAGACTCAGGCGATCCTGCCACCTCAGCCTCCCGAAGAACTGGGACTATAGACATGCCACCACACCCAGCTAATTTAAAATAAATTTTTTTTGGGTAGAGACAAGTTTTCACTATATTGTCCAAGCTGGTTTCAAACTTCTGGCCTCAAATGATCCTTCTGACTCGGCCTCCCAAAGGATTGGGATTACAGGCATGAGCCACCACGCCTGACCAGAATGAGTTTACTGAGAGAAATTATGAAAAACAGGAAAGTTACTCCAGAGCCAGGGGAACATGACTTTAAATATATACATATATTTAACAAGTTCTTTAACTTATAAAAGTCATGTATGTTTCATGGTTTTTAAAAAAAGTTTAAGTGGTTAAGGATATAGAATAAAAAGTGAAACCCTATTGTGATACTACAGGAAAGGAATTGGCAGGCGAGGGAGGGAAGGGGACACAGTTTATCGGTAAGGGTACCTGATCTCAAACCAGGTGAAGTGGAGTCCACAGTGAGGCCCAAACTTTACCTCTACAAGGACCATTTGTATACCTAACCCTGAATTGTATCCCACATCTTTCCTTTCCCCAGAGGTACTACAAAAAGTTTCTTCCAGAAAGTTCCTATCCATTTAATGCATGGGCATACACACTTATAGGATCATATTATACATATTCTACTACTACAGTTTTCCTCTACATAAGGTATATACAGACAGCTTTCCATAACAGCATATGTAAATAGATCCCTCTCTTTCTTTGGAACGGTAATAATGCCTGGTATCACACTCTGTGACATGCCCTGGTTTCTCACTCCAATGTCAGCTCATTCCTTTCCTAAGTCTTGTTACAAACCTCTCCCACAACTAAACCAAACAATACAGGCGTGCGTGCACATGTGCGCACACGCACACACACACATACACAATATCTACTTCAAAAAAGCTTTACTATTAATTTAGGTTGTACAGAGAAGTCAGGAGGCTAGCAGCCTCACATTGACTCTTGGAAGGGAATCACAAAGTCTCTGTGAAAAGAGAAACGTTTCTCTCCAGAACTGCCAGAAACAGCAGATGATGCACATCTAGATTCCACAAGGTCTCATAACAACAGTAGCAACTCAGCCTGGGGGTGGCATGACCTGCCCAGCCACTGACGCTTTCACAGCCTCAGGACCATCGTGAGGACAATGTCAGTCCTCACAAGAAAAGTTAGGCAAGAGAAAAAGGAGATACATATTTCTCTATGCCACATGAAGAATAGAGGAGCTGGTGCGCACATCCTTTCTGACACTTTTCTGAGGCAATGTAAATCTTCTGAGTGAACCCAACACACCTCTCAGCTCAGGCTCTGTCTAGACCTAGCTTAGCCAGATACACCAATATATAAAAATGTAGTATAATACATACAGGTACTTTAAATACCTGGTTTTTTGCAAGAAACTGTACAAGTGCAAAAAGTATATGATCCATCCATGTCCTTGGGAAATTTACACAGTATAAATGCTTGAGATATTGATAAAAGTTCGAGACAACAACAACATAAGAGAGTGCATCATCAGTTACCACATACCATGGAGATTCCAATGCATTACGCAACTGTGAGAAGACATCTAAGGATGGCCCATCATGGAGGAGAGCCCTGGAGGCTCCTTGAGGAGTTAGAGCCTTCCACATTAACACCGCGCATAGTTCACAGTAGGCATTTAGTACCTATGCCCAACCTATAGCACTGTGAAGTGGGACATGACTGGCTATAGCTACTCATTTCACTTTCCCTGTGTTAGCAGAGCTGGACTATGTTACTAATTTAGCTTTTTGCTGATGAAGTCTTAAACCAGATTTTTATCATACAGGCACAGTGGTGCATGCCTGTAGACCCAGCTACTTGGGAGCCGGAGGCAAGGGGATTGCTTGAGCCTAGTAATTCAAGACTAGCCTGGGTAACATAGCAAGACACCCACCTCTGAAAAACATAGGTTTTGTCCTAGATGGAATAAATGTACAATTGTATCACTTGCAGGAGAGAACATTTATCTAGAGGTAAGTTATAGTCTTGTTTCAAACAACATACCTAGAGAATAATATTAATTTTTGTATTCTCTTTCTTTAGGTCTAAATTACATTATTATGGGCCAAGTGGGTGAAGATGGGCGAGGCAAAATCATGCCAAACAGCTTTATCATGATGTTCAAGGCCAAGAATCAGAAGCTTCTGAATGCTTTAAAAAACAAGCAATGTTAACAGTGAACTGTATCCAATTTAAGCTGCATTCTGCCATTGCCTTTGAAAGATCCATTTTCTCTCAGTAGGAAAAAAATGCTTATAAAATTAAATATTCTGAAAGATTGGACTGGTTTACTCTTCACATGATGTTGGTAGGAGACCTTCAGTACAGCTGATGGAAGTTCTGTGCCTCCACTAAGGAGCAGATGTCTGACTGGAAACCTGCCAATTTAGTCCGGGATTATTGTAGTGATGGGAAACAATGTGTCAAGTGTTGACAACTTGGAAGCAGTTTATTTTATACATCTCTATAAAAGGATCTTTTAGAATTGAGTTGTGTGAAGATGTAAAAAAGAGATTTTATAAGTGCAATATTTATAGTGATATTTGTTTTACCTTCAAGCATTTGCTCTGAGGTGTTATAGTCTTCTCTTGCAATTTTTAAATCAATGCTTAATAAAATATTTTTAAACAATTACATAGTAGCCACTACACTTGTTTTTATAGATAGCCAGACACTGTAAAAAGGATATTCCCTTTTAACAGTAAGAATGTTGTTATTGATATGTAAGGTTGTCTTTGCATCGAGTTACGCTTTGCTAAAAGAGCTAGCATTCCAAGAATTTCAGGGACTAAATGGATCCAATAATGTCAACAGACTAATTCTTCTCTTTGCAGAAACAGAGAATGTTAGAGCTAGAATGGTGTTCCACAGGGATCTAGTTCAAACTTACTCATTCTGTAGTTGAAACGGGAGCTCAGGTCTCAGTGGCGTGCCCTGGGCACACATCCCCTAGGTGACAGAACAGCCAAGCTCAAGAGTCCTAATACCAAACCCAGCACCCTCACTGCCACAAGAAGAGCCCTCCCTACCTGAGGACAGCCCTTCTATACTGATTTGAAGAGTTGAGTACTAAATACTAGTATAGGCTAGTATTTGCAAGCCCATATAACTGGTCATTTTATAGAACTTCCCCACTGTTACACAATATATCCGTGTAACAAACATGTATGTGTGCCCTCTCAATCTAAAGTAAAGAGGCATGGTGGCTCATGCCTGTAATCCCAGCATTTTGAGAGACTGAAGTGGGAGGATTGCTTGAGTCCAAGCATTCGAGACCAGTCTGACCAGCATAGTGAGACTTCGTCTCTACTAAAAAAAAAAAAAAAACTGGGCATGGTGGCGGTGCACACCTGTAGTCCCAGCTACTTAGAAGACTAAGGTGGGCCAGGTGCAGTGGCTGAAGCCTGTAATCCCAGCACTTTGGGACGTGAGGGGATTGCCTGAGCCCACGGGTTCAAGAACAGCCTGGGCAACTTGGCGAGACCTCATCTCTACAATAAATCAAAAAATTAGCCAATCATGGTAGTGCACATCTGTAGTTCCGGCTACTTGGGAGGCTGAGGCGGAAGGATCGCTGGAGTCCAGCAGGTTGATGTTGGGGTGGCTGTGATCGTGCCACTGCACTCCAGCCTGGGTGACGGAGTGAGACTCCAACTCAAAAAAAAAAAAGGCTGAGGTGGGTAGATCACTCGAGCCTAAGACGTCAAGACTGCAGTAAGCCATGATTGTGCCACTGCCCTCCAGCCTGGGCAAGAGAGAGAGACCTTGACTCGAATGAATGAATGAATGACTAGTTAGAAAAAAAAAGTGAGCCTGATACTCCTATCCTGTTCATCCCCAGTTAACTGGATCAGGCTGTATCAGCTAAAATACATTCTGCCATTGCTTTCGAAAAATCTATTTTCACTCTGTAGTGGAAGAACTACAAAAGGACTCCCATCCTTCACACAGAGCTGTTTAAAATGCTGCTGTGCCTGCCACAAGTGTGGCAACCAGCCCACAGGAGGTTGCTGGCCAGGGGCTGGGGAAGAGCAGACAGCCACCCCTATCCAAAGATTGAAAGAACGTCAGGGATGAACCAAGGCCTGGGTCACAAAGTCTCCCATGTAGAAGCAAAGTTTGAGAACTAAAGGGAAATACTCTTTTGGGTAAAAACAATTCCCACCCCTAGGGGTGACCAAACATTTAAAGCGCTTCAAAATAAAAGTTCAGAAGGAAGAATCCCTCTGTTTTGGCAGCCGAGGAAGCAATGAATGTGGGCTGGCTGGCAAATCCAAATTCATTCCTAAACTTGCCCACCGAAATGCTCATTGGTGTCAGGAAATTCACCAGCTGAGGAAGTGGATGAACTAGAGAGCCAGCTGACAGGTGGGTGGTTTCACCGGCCAGTGCCAGCTTTTAGAAAGGCCCTCTCAGCCAGCTGGACATCACAGGCCAGCTGCACCCAGTCTGGGTGTAACTAGGCTACTGATGGAGTCCAGCCTTCTCACGGCCAGTTAGTTCCTTCCCAGAGTACATGTCATGGGACTTAGGAGTGATTACTAAAGATATTTCTTCTCTCCTAATAGAATCTTCTTATTGGCGCATTAGAAGCAGTATACTTGTGCGTATCAGTCTCCTGTGTTTCCAGTGGAAAGACTTCCAGAGGTTTCTGTGTAGGGGCTTGAGTCGTAGGGTAAAAACAGGGAAGTCATCCAAACTACTCATACCACTGACATTTCTGACACAAGACTTAATTATTTAGGAGATTCATGGTTAATAATGTATGGTGGCCAGCACGGTGGCTCAAGCCTGCAATCCTAGCACTTTGGGAGGCTGAGGCGAGAGGCCTGCCTGAGCCCAGGGGTTTGAGACCAGCCTGGACAACATGGTGAGACCTCATCTCTACAATAAATAAGTAAATTAGCTGAGCGTGGTAGCGCATGCCTGTAGTTATGGCTACTTGGAAGACTGAGGCAGAAGGACCACCAGAGCCCAGCAAGTCAACGCTGGGGTGGCTGTGAATGTACCACCGCACTCCAGCCTAGGGGACAGAATGAGACTCCAACTCCAAAAAATAATAATAATAATGTATGGCACTGGTTTGTCTTTTAAGTCAGGTATTCAAAACGTAAAGATAATCAAGCTAAGGAAACTGCTCTTTCTGGTGCAACAACCATTCTAAGGCTTCTTTTCTGTTTATAAAATCATTTTGCTGTAGTTTGAATGTGTCCTCCAAAGTATTCTCATGTGCTGGAAACTTAAGTCTCCAATGCAAAGTGTAGAGAGGTGGGACTTTTTAAGGGGTGATTGGATCATGAGGGCGCTGCCCTCGTGAATGGATTGATTATCATGGGAGTGGATAAAAGAATAATTCTCCCACCTCCCTATTTCTCCCTATTTCTCTTTCTCTTTTGTGCACACATGTGTGTTCCTGTACTCTCCTGCCCTTCCGCCTTCTGCCATGGGTGATGCCACAAAAAGGCCTTCACCAGACATAGGCCCCTTGACCCTGAAATGTCCCAGCCTCCAGACATGTAAGAAATCAATCTGTTCTTTATAAATTACTCAGTCTTAGATATTCTGTTATGGCAGCACAGAACACACTGAGAAACACTTCTTTTTTCTTTCTTTTTTTTTTTAGAGACAAGGTCTCACTTTGTCACCCAGGTTGGAGTGCAGTGGCACAATCATGGCTCACTGTAACCTCAAACCCCTGGGCTCAAGGCATCTTCCTGCCTCAACTTCCTGAGTAGCTGGGACTACAGGTGCTTGCCACCATGCCTGGGTAATTTTTTTTTTTTTTTTGAGTTGGAGTCTCACTCTGTCACCCAGACTGGAGTGCAGTGGCCGCCTCGACCTGCTGGGCTCCGGCGATCCTTCCGCCTCAGCCTTCCAAGTAGCTGGAACTACAGGCACGCGCTACCACGCCCGGCTAATTTTTGATTTATTGTAGAGATGAGGTCACGCCAAGTTGTCCAGGCGGGTCACGAACCCACGGGCTCAGGCAATCCACTCACCTCAGCCTCTCCAAGTGCTGGGATTACAGGCTGAGCCACCAAGCCCAGCTGCCTGGGTAATTTTTATTTTTGTTTTTGTTTTTTGTAGAGACAAGGTCTCAATATGTTGCCCAGGCTGATTTTGAACTCCTAGGCTCAAACGACCCTCCTGCTTTGGTCTCCCAAAATGCTGGGATCATAGGTATGAGCCACTACCCTCGGCCAATAAGACACATATCTTCTCTTTTAGAAATTGTTTCTTTTGAAATTTTTATTTCTTTTTGAAGAACTGTTGATATAGTTTTGGTTTTGTTTTTAAGTATTTATACTTGAGAAATCAAATACATGAGGAATAAATAGGTGATCATACAAATATATCGCAAGACATTTCAAAATTTTAAATAAGACTCAGATGTGTTTCAGAGCATCTTGCTAGCTTGATTTTAATCCTTTGAATTCAATTCCTGTAACAAAAATATAAGACTCTTACAAAGTTCCCAAGTCATAAATTCTGTTATTTTACTTATTTGCTTGAAGGCTAACCTTAGTAGGGAGAGACTTACCTTTTTACTTTTTCCTTCCTGTAAGGTAGTGCTGCCAGGTTCCCATTATACCTTCTGTACTATTTAAATAATGTAAACTCATTACAAAAATCTCCTTTAGAAAAAGCCCTATAAACAAAACAACTACTAATAAGAAAGTTCTAATGTGAGATAAATAATATTAATCAGAAACCCCTTTTGCTTTAATATTTTTTTAAGTTGGAGTCTCATTCCGTCGCCCAGGCTTGAGTGCAATGTCATGCTCACAGCCACCCAACGTCAACCTGCTGGGCTCCATCGATCCTTCCGCCTCAGCCTCCCAAGTAGCTGGAACTACAGGCTCTTGCTACCTCACTTGGCTAATTTTTTATTTATTGTAGAGACGAGGTCTCGCCAAGTAGCCCAGGCTGATCTCAAACCCACGGGTTCAGGCAGTCCACTCACCTCAGCCTCCCAAAGTGCTGGGATTACAGGCTGAGCTACTGAGCCCAGCGTGCTTGAATTTATAGATATTTATATACATGCAAACAAAAAAATTGCAATAAAAATAAATTCAGTTAGCAAGAAAATATTTTTTACAAAGTTTGGCGTAAGTATTCTAAAGTCCTCATATTGAGAGAGAGAACGATAAAAAGATTAACATAGGACTTTGATAACTTAATTATTTACATTAATAGATCTAGGGTAACCATAAAATAATATAAATAGAATGACAAGATTCAAAACTAGGGCGCAGTGGCTCATGCCTCTAATCCCAGCACTTTGGAAGGCCAAGGTGAGAGGATTGCCTGAGCCCAGGAGTTTGAGATCAGTCTGGGCAACATGGCGAGACCTCGTCTCTACAATAAATTTTTAAAAATTAGCCAGGTGTGGTGGTGTGTGCCTGTAATCCCAGCTACTTGGAAGACTGAGAGTAAAGTATCACCTGAGCCCAGCAGGTAAATGTTGTGGTAGCTGTGATGGTGCCACTGCACTCTAGCCTGAGCGTCAGAAGAAGATGCCAACTCAAAAAAAAAGAAAATGAAATATATAAGGATTAGAAAGGAAGAAACACAGAGATGTTATAATGATCCAAGTAGAAACCTAAGGTAACCTGCAGGTAAGTGATTAGAATTA